GAGAAAAGTAACTAATGAAATCATCATTACCCTAAGCATTATTGTGCAAGTATTATTGTAACTGCATTATCATGAACATATTACTCAGAAGAAAGTATAATGTCGTTCCCAAAATAACTTATAACATAACAACGTTACAAGTAACGCGTTATGTGTTTCCAATCTTAATTCTTTTTAATTATACCTTTAAAGTCTGATCTACAATATGCTCTTTGTTTCCTGTTTCTTTCTTTTTACTCCCCTTTTTGCGACCGTTTTATTGACGATTGTATTATTTCTTGCCATGTGTTTCTTGTTTCTACTAAAATTCGTTAAAGCTTGTTCTACAATGTGCTTTCTGTTGCTCGAGGTAAACGTTAACGAACTTCAGAAGAAACAGAAAACACATATTAAGAAATATAATTGTTGACAAAACAATCACAAAGAAGAGAATTGAAATAGATAGAAATAGATTCGTGTAGTCGAACCAAATAAAAAATTCTGATTTTTCGAATACTGAGAAGAAACAGGATATAAAAAGCACATTGTAAAACAGGCTTTGTGGTCAAAAATCGATTATTTTTTAACATTTGGCCTCAAGTTTTTAAACGCATAATGGATAAATCTCGAAAAAGCAACATCCCTTCAGTAAATATTATTATTATTAACATTTTCATTCAAGGTAGATTTATTGCAAATAATTTTCTGTCAATCTCCCTGATTAACGATAATAAAACACGCACTCACCGCAATTCTCAAACTCGAAGGCAAAACAGGGCGCGAAACAACATGACGTGCAGAAAAGCGAAGTGAATAGGACAATCGTCACTCGAACCATGTTGCTATTGCTCGTACGACTTCCGCGCAGCTAATGACGGAATACTGCTGCAATTGTTTTAACATGTGTAGTCCCCTCTAGTACTTAATGAAAGAGCGCCTCCAAACGGTTCTCATTGTCAAAATACCGATCGAGCTGAGACTGGAAATTTACCATATATATCATTTATATTTCTACCTTTTTTTTTCTTTGGGTTTTACGTAAAACAATCGGATCTCTAAATCGGATTGAACAGTGGCTCACTCTAATGATTCTAAATGTCTATAGATCCAGAGACATTTACATTACTACAATTCTTGTTGTTTATGAAACTCGGATTTCGAATTACTATCGTCATACGTGTTCCTCTTCTGAAAAGTTAGTTTTTATTTCAGAAGTTTCAAAATATTTTTGTGGCATTTGTTGCGATTCTTTTCTATCTGCTGTTGCAGTTGATTTGATAAGTGTTGTACTCGGAGAAGGTCAACTATATTTCACTCTGCGTTTTTAATAATAATTTTTTTAACAAATCTCAATCTGAATTGAAAATCTACAGTGATGACTGCCTGGAAATTTCCAAACCTACAGTGAAGATGACCCAATAATAAGGGTCTTTTTTATTTCATTTCTGAATATATGGTATTCTTACACACCAACAACCTGTGCTGACTCAAATTGGCTTTTTACCTTCCTATAATTTTTTAAAATAATTTTGATAATAATTTTATAATGATATTTATAAACATATATATTGTGTGTGTGTGTGTGTGTGTGTGTGTGTGTGTGTGTG